TGCCTCCTATTGGCCAAACAAAAGCCAGAGCGCAAGGAAGCCACTGATGCTGTGTAAATACATCATCTACCTGGGGCACAGAGCAGGGTGGGGAGTGGATGTGGAGGGGCAAACAAGATATTCAGAACATGTACGTGGGGAAATGGAAGTGAATGGATAAGAGCATGCATGAGTTTCTTATTGCTGCTGTCACAAATTTGGTGGCTTAAAACAACACAAATTTATTATCTTACAGTTTGGGGAGCTAGAAGTCCAAAGCAGGTTTCATCAGGCTAAAATCAATGCATTCCTTTCTGAAGGCTCTGGGGGAGACTCCACTTCCTCAGTTTCTCTAGAGCCCCCCTCTCTGCCCCTTCCTCCACCTTCAAAACAATTGCATCTGCTTCTGTGGTCACATCTTGTTCTCTGACTCCTGCTTTCTTCTTTCGTCTTTTAAGAGCCCTTGTGATTAGTGGAGCCCACCCAGATAACCCAGGATAACCGCCCCAGTTAAAAAATTTGTATTTAATCACACTGGTCTCTTCGCCATGTAAGTAACATTCCCAGGTTCCGGGGGATTAACATGAGGCATCTTTAGGGGGGGCATTATTCTGCCTGCAATTTAGAGTGAATAAACAAACCATTTTGACTGGATTGGAGGGCTCCCTAGGAAAGTAATGAAAACAGGAAGCGCAGATCAAAGCCGAGTTATGGAAGCTTTAAATGCTAAACTCTATGAATGTTTTTCTATAGAGAAGAAGGAGCCACTGTAAGTCCTCCACCAGGGTAGTGGCTTGTTAGCAGTGTTAAGAAAGATGATCTGACCGTGGTGCTCTGGGTGGCTTAGAGGGAAGAACAGAAACCTTTCAAGATGCAATTGGAGTAGCCCAGGCCCAGCGGAACAAAAGTCTGAAACGAGAATGACAGGAAGGGATGGTGTGAAAAGTGCAGTGCAGTAAGATTCTACAAGAGGGCTAGCCAACTGGACATGGACGGAAGGGGAGGAATCTGAGCTTTGGAAGTGACTGACTGGTAGATTAATGGTACGATGTAGAAAATCAGGAGAGCAAATCTGTTTCCAGGGCAGATGATGAGTTGGGGTATAGTCGTAGAGTCCTGGAATAGCAATACAAATAGAATCTTATCCATGTTAAGATGCTGCCTATTGTAAACACATGAATATTTTATGTGCCACTAAGGAAAGATTAAAATATGGTGCATGCCTTCTTAAATATATAATTTTTACGTTATTGAAAGAGCTATTTAGCCTTACACCCAGATCTTTGAAGTCTTTTAATTGACATAAAATAAATTGCACATATTTAAAGTGTGTACAGTTTGATATGTTTTGACATACGCATGCATCTGTGACACTGTCAGCACAATCAAGGTAGTTCATAACCCCAAATTGCCTCTTTTTAAATAATATGTTTTATTTTTTAATTAGAGTTGAGGTACAGTATATTTTCAGGTGCACCACCCAGTGATTGGACATTTATATAACTTACGAAGTGATCATCCTGATAAGTCTAGTACCATCTAACACCATACATAGTCATTATAATATTGCTGGCTATATTTCCTATGCTGTACTTTATATCCCCATTACTATTCTGTACCTACTAATTTGTACTTTTTTTAAAATTCTTTTTTATATATTTTTTTTTATTGCTTTTTTTA